GGCTTTCTCCTCGCGCCGGGTGAGCGGCTGCAGCTCCCGGGGGGGACCATCAGAAGAGCTGGTTACCGCATGGCCGGGAGGTTATTGCTCAGCTGGGACCCCACCAGAGACCGCGGCTCCCGCATCGGACCCGGGTCCGGGCGATGAAGCATGATGCCCTGAGGTTGCAGGCAGCCCTGTGCCCCGGAGCGCCAGCACAGGCAACGTTACCTCACGAGCGGGATGAGGCAGGGCCCTGAAATTATTTCGGGCAAGCCACATCCCGACTCTCGTGGTCCTGACCCACAAGTGAGGCTGCAAGGAGGCAACAGCCGGAAAAGTCACCGGGAGAACACTTCCAGCGACCACCGCTTGGTCACCCAGCCAGTGGGCACCGACCAAGGGTCAGAGGGGTGACAGCCCGGTGGCAGCTCGCAATGCAGCGCGTGACTTCTCCCACACTAAAATCCCAGGCTCAACACAACTGGAGCGACTTGCCCAGAAGCCAGCACCCTCCGTCTTCCCACAGATCTGCAGGCACAGGCAGCAAATCATCCCGCTGTTAGGCTAAGGCTTCACGGGCACAGGGGCAGACCTCCATGCCCTCTTACAGCCCGCTTCTGGGGATACCACCAGCTTCTCCCAGCAGCAGAGATTGCCACGTTCACAGGCAGTGCTTGGGCACCGAGAAAAGCTGTTTCCAGCCCCAGAGCAAAAAAAAGCTGCAAGCGACAGGGTATATTGTCACACTCACAGTACCTGCTTGTTTAAGAGAAGTTTGAGAACTAGTCCTGGGCAAGAAAAACAAGCTGGAAGTCTCCATCCCCATGTGACTGTCATACAGAGGATGCTCTGTTGCACAACAGGGAAAAACGTCCTCATCCTAGTCAACTAAGAAAAAGAAGATTCAAAGGTTCACACTTCAACAGGGCTGAAGGAGCATCAGCAAAGTGATCTGAAAGATCTCCAGTGCCTCTGCACAATGAATGGCGAGGCATAATTCAGTCAGATTTATGGTTTTCCAGTGGCTTCCAACACCAAGAAGTTTTTCATAGCCGTGGGGCGACTGAATCTGAATACCTTTGGGAACAGGGCATAAATCGGGAGCCACCTCTTTTTCTTTCCCAAGGTCAGGCGTTAGAGAAGCCTGTGGCTGCCACGCGAGGCATTGCAGGGGAAAGCTAGAGCGTCCTTACACAATGTGGCTTCTTGTTAGCGACCCTCGTTTAATCTCTACAAGGTATCTCTTTCTGAAAGTACAAAGGGCAGCAGGTGATGGGCAGGGATGTCTGAGCCGATACCACGCTCGCCAAGGCAGCACACAAACCAAGGGAGTAAGAGTCAAAGCTCTTTTTAAACTAAGTTTTGATCTCTTGCTCCGCGAATCCTTTTGGAGAACCTTCCCCATCAATAAGCATCAAAGTTTGGGTTTTTCTGCCCTCAGATAATCCTACCGAGGGGAAAGATGGGTGAGGAGCTTTAGGACAAAAGGGAAGCTGATACTTTTGCCTGCAGCCCTGTTCGGAGATGCTACCCAGGAAACGTCTCACTGGTGTGGGATGACCAAGTAGACTCAGTCCTTTTCATGGCACGAGACAAGACGATCCTCTCTCCTCATGCTTCTCCCTTTTGAGGTGATCTCAGCTAAACTACAGGTTAGGCCAGCTGGAGGGTGAATGTCTACCAGTTTGATTAAACTCCCTGGTCTGCGAAGGAGGAAGGAGCCCAAATGTCCAACTCGGAGCTCCCCCTCCCAGAAACAGCCTTTCCTCAAAAGCAGGCAGAGAGGACTTGGAGGGGTAAGAGGAGAAGGAAGCAAAGTATTTTCAAACTTTTACCTGAAAAGCCAAAAGAGGAGACAAGGGCTCCCTGGCGTGCCTAGAGGAGATGGGGATTCACGACGAGGTGCAGGGGATGCGTGAGCGGGACCGGCCAACGTGGGCTGTGTGCTGCCGTTACCCACCAGTCCTCCAACCAAGCTATGGCAGCAAACGTCGCAGGGAAAGGGAAAAGCAGCAGAGAAGACAACGTGCCCAGGGGCTGAGAACAGTGGGGACAGGAGAGTGTCCTGTCTGTCCGAAGGAAAAATTGGCATATTGCCTCCAAAGACTCTCCCCCAGAACAGGGAATGGGCAGAAAAAGGGGAGAGGATGGGAGAAAGGAGGAAGCAGAGTGAGGGGGGAAAGAAGCAGCCAGAAAGGAGTCAAGGAAAGCTGGTGTGCTTTGAGGAAGCGACCTCTTCGGAGAGAAACACTGGGAAGATCTCTGCCAAGGGGCCAGGGAGTGGGGCCACAGGGGTTTACAGGACATGCCCGCAATGAACCAGCAAGACATCCTCTTTGGAAGACGAGTCTTGCTCTTGCGTGTACACCCTGGGAAAGGCAGGGAAACCCAGCGGTGCTGAGGGTGCTGGAGGTGTTGGGTTCCCACGATCAACAGCCGCTAGCCGTGCTGATGCCGTTTCAGGGGGTCACAGCCCCTCAAATCCTACGTGTGGTTCAACCATCTAAAAGACTGCTCCCTCCCTCGCCCAGATGCATGCCCGCGTTGTATGCCCCCCCCCAGCTCTCCTCTAGAGACATAAATTCATCTTCACGTTATCTATAAAAGAGTATTTAAAGCCAAAACACACACACACACACACACGCACATGCACTAAACACATAGTTACACACACATACACAAACACATTTTCTTGTCTGCCAAATATCAGCTACGGTGCAATTCTTAAAGAGGAGGTGTCAGTCCTTATACAAATTGACATCTACAGAAATATATATATAATTTAAAAAAAAAAAAAGAAAAGAAAAGAAAAAAGTTCTCGACAATTCCTTAACATCGGTGGCAGCATGCGTCACTGTAAATGCTAAAGCCGGCTGGTTTCCCTAGTAGTCTCTGCATACCTTGTTCATTGTCACTTGTTTTGAGGGACTCTTCAGACCAACTTCTATTGCTTTTGGCCTCTGACCTTTTCTTGGTGTGCCTTTCTTCTGTGAAGTCTTTGACCTTTGCAGTGGCCTCTGGCTGAACAGCCTCAGCTAAATCTTTCCTGCTTTGCCGGCCCAACTTGCCGGACGGGGATCTCTCTGGTGACACCTGCTGCTCCCATAGTTCCCTAAGATGCTGCAGGTGACGCTGCTTTTTGGGATGGAGCCCTGTTAATTCAATGCACACCTTCAGGTTGGTCACCTCATTACAATTGGGCTCTTCTAAGTGGTTAGAGGAATTGTTTGTCATTTCCCTCTCAGGCCAGTCATCTAATGGAAAAATAACTAAAAATTAATCAAAAAGCCCCCTCAACTTAAAACAAAAGCTACATTTCACTTTCGGGGCATATAGTCTCAGCTTTACCACCACACTATGCATTTTAAAGGTTCACTCATTAAGGGTTACATGCACTACAGTAACTTGCACTGCTGTGGCTACAGTGTCCAACGACTAGTGCTTTACCCTTATATGCCAAGATTTTTATATATACATATATATATACACATATATATACATACATATATATACATATATATAATTTTAAGTGAAATGACAGTGCTCACATTAGTAACTATCAAGTTCAAAAATGGAAACACATTAAGCCAAAGGGACGTTCCTTTCACAAGACATTCCTTGAGAGAGACCGAAGCAAAATGCTGTCTTACCTTTGGAGTTCTTCTTCTTTTTTGCTTTTGATATAAGTTCATCCTGCAGTTCATCCACAAAGTTTTCATTTTGGCTGCCATCATTTTGCACTCTCTCACCAGAGTGTTTACGCTTCCTGTCCAGACGTGGACATGGATGTTGGCCAATATCTCCTGTTGGCTGGTCTTCCGCTTTTTCATATATAGAATGTCTCTCTAAATAACATTGCTCATTTGAGAGATCTTTTTCCTCTGGAGTTTCAAGAAAGTGACCTTGGTTGTTTTCTGTACTAGTAAAGTTACCTAAAAATATAAAAAACAAACACCACAAGACCTAATAAATACAAAACAATTCACTGTGAGAAAGCTATGCTCTCTGATCTCTCCAATGTCATCTCCACTGTGACTTATGGTTTATGAGGCATGCAAATAAACACAAAACCTTACTTCAGAACAAGTCTTCTCTGGTCAGCCTAAGGCAGCAGTTTCCTCAACAGCTATGTACAACACCCCCAAAAGCGCAATACTTTGTGTTGGTTTTACATCAGTTTAAGAAGCACAACATTCACAATACTTGTAGCCATAGAAACACCACAATATGCTTTTTAAATAAAGAAACATATTTAGATATCGAAAGCACAGACCCTTTTCAGAAAGCAACCTCACCCCCCAAAACCGTGGTAATAATCCAAGCTTCACTTTGCAATGACTGTCTTTTCAGAAGTACCTTCTTGTGATAACAAAGTATCAGCTTTTCACTAGTTCCTAATCCTTCCCTAACTTCTCGCATCGAATTGCAGAGTCTGACTTAAAAGCGTTCATCCCTTCTTCTGGAGATATAAATGGGATACGGAGCACGCACACACGTATACGGGAATACCACTAAGAATAGCTGTGATATTTTGCAAAAAGCACTACTTGAATCCAAGGTTATAAAAAGGCTTCCTCACTTCAAGTAACCAGCCAGTCACTGTACATCACATGATCTCCGTCACCTCCTTTTTAAAAAGACCTCACTTTTTTCAGGGAGTATTTCCAGCAGCAGCAACCGGGTGAGCTTTGAAAAGCTTACTAGAAACCAGTCTGCCAAACGAGCCCCAAAACACCTGTGTTGCCGTGCGTGCCCTAACTTCAGCAGCCCCTCTCCAAAACTGTTCCCCCAAATTTAGAGACAGCTTAAGCAATTTTAAACGGATGCTTGACTTAAAACAGCACTTAATTATCACTTTTTCTTGCGTTTAAACAAAACTAGCCGAGGCACGGCTAGTTAGGCAGCCACGCGGTACAGACTGCACCACGGTTAATCAGCTTTCTATTTACAATTCTCACAAACAAGTTGGTTTTCCCACGCATTTTAAGCCTCCTGGCTGACCAGTATTCGTTCTGCACTTCTGCCGCTGTTTGGCAAAGTGTCTCTATGCTCCGTCCTACTTCCCCACAGCTAGCTGTCCCTTTTCCTCTTCCTCCTCCTTGCCCTTCCTCCTTCTCCTCCTTGCCCTTCCTCCTTCTCCCACTTCCCTTCCCGCAAACACATCTGGTTTCCTACCTGGACTCCCGACAGCTTTGTTTCCCTTCCCTCCCCTTAATCCTCCCCATCCTTACTCAGCCTCCTCCCCGTACAGCCTGGCCTTCAACTTCTGCTCTTCCCCCTCGCCAGGGCAGACGTTGCCCCTCCACAGCCCTCCCGTCCCCTCTGAGCCCCACCACTCCAGCATCCAGGCACTGGCAGCCCCTGGATGCAGACCAGTGGCATCCCGCCCTATCCTGGGAGCACCTTCCTACAGCTCTGCCAATACCTTGTGGCTTCACGACCGTCCTTGAAATTCCTGTTGTCAGCAATGGAAGAGAAAGGAGGTAAAAAAAAAAAAAAAAGGGGGGGGGGAAGAACCAGCTCTCTGAAAAAAAACCCAGCTCTCTGATGAGATTTTTCTTCACCACAACTTGGAAATGGCTCCAAGTAGCACCTAGGGCTCTGGAGATGTTTGCAAGCACCATCATTTTTACACTGCTTGGGAAGCTGCCTGCGGGGATGCTTTATAAAACAGAGGAAGATATTTGGCCAAGAACAATCAAAACAAAAGTTGACTTTTTCCAGGCGAGCGGGATGCCCGGGCCATTCTGCTCTTTGGCGATGCTCCTCTCCGCACGGCCGTCTGGCCAACACCTGCTCCCTTCAAGACTTTAAAACGCAGTTTGTCACACTTCTTGCAGCCAGCAACGCTGACACGTTCCAGAAAGCAGGTATCTCAGCTTACTGTGACTGCGCCTCTGAACCGCCAGTGTCCCCCCCCGAACCAAAATGAATCTGGCAACACCCTGCACTTGCACATCTGGCACAGAGACGCTGCCCAACAGCTGTACCCTATAACCACAGCAACAGCACCAGCGGTCCTGTTTCACACAGCGTAAAAGAAGCTGGACCAGCCACCTTTTGAGTACCACTTCAGAAATGCTTCTATTGGGTTTCATTTTACATTTTTAACGCAACCTGCTATTTTTCCCCCCCTCTTTCATAAGGAAACATTATACTTATATACACTCAGTTTCCCCAAACAGATCAGGTAAGGGCATTCCCCGCCACCGTGCTCCCACCGCTTTACAGCCTGCGCGTCTGCAGCCGTCCCACACCACAGCCAATGCTGACCCTCGCTAGATCGGGATAGCCTTCCCGCTCCTAACACCGCCTGGCCTGAGAAAAGGCAGGCACATCCTGACCGATTCCCAGAGAAGCTTTCGCAGGGTCAGAGGAAGTAGCAGGCTGTAGGAGGGGGGGGTTGATGGTCTTAATCTTTGGGGCTTGCAGGAAACAGCAAGCTAATTCCAGCCTGCCACCACCGAAAGCGACCCGCTGCTGATTAATGCCTGCTCTGTCTGCAAGAGGACTTGGCACACACGAGGATGCCGAGCGCCACTCGCTCAGCCCATCCCCGCTAAAAAATATAAAAGGAGGGGAGAGACGTTTGCTGCAACCTCGCTAACAGCTCGTCAGTGTCAGCTTCTCTGAGGAACATCACACACCTATTGAACTTTATCCAAAAACCCCTCTCGCTGCCAGCAGCTCTGCAACACCTTCGCCTCCGCTCTCCGAGGTCACATCCGAGGGGGACCTCCCAGGCGACCAGAGCTACGTCTGCTCGGCCGCCGAGCCAGAAATCCCTCTCGACGACAGCCT